TACAACACGATTAATCAATACGAATTAAGCGGGTTTGGGTAAAACCTTAACGGATTCTGGTTATTAACGAGTTGACCTATTTAATAAATGGATCGTGTTTGGGTGAGACCTATTAACCTGTTTACATGTGTTAAGTAAAATTAATATAACAATAAATTAATAATTATTTTTAAAAAATTAGGCAGAATTTTGTTTTTAATGACAACCATAAAATATATTTGAGCTATTTTTCCATATTCCCTAGTTCCAAACCCTAATCCTCATTCAGTCTCCCGTTTCCTCCATACCCTTTGTTTTTAGGCTTCAACGTCACGCCTCCAAGTCTGCAGCTGAAGCTCTTACTTCTCCTCCTCCACCCCCTTCTCTCTCTCCCTCTCTCTCTCTCTCTCTCTCTCTTACATGACAGTGACTCAGCAAGCAGTTGGTATCTTCGAAGACTTCGACGATTAACCAAGCTGTAAGTTTTTCTTTTCCATTTCTGTTGAACAAGCTATCTTTCTCTCCACATTCTTGTTGAGCAATACCTAGAACCCAACTCCCTTTGAAATTAAAACCCTACCCACCAATTCCCTTTGAAGTTAGAATTTGGATTAAAACCCTACCCACCAACCTCTTTTGAAATTGAGTACTAGAATAATTCAACGGACTGTTTGACAGAGCATATGCTCCTAAATTCAACAAATTGCATGATATCATCATTTTGTATGACTTAAGGCTATTGTGTTATTGTGTATTTGTGTTGACTTGAATGGCTTTATGTATTTGATATTAGAATATATGCTTAAGGCTATTATGTTGACATGATATCAGAAATGCTTGAGTTTGATTAATTAGCATTCTGTATTTGATATTAGTATTCTGTATATTTTTATTATTGGTTATCAGCATTGGTATAATTGTTCTTTGGTGTAATTTTGTAATTTCGGATTGTATTAATGATTTGTAATATAGTTGTTGGTGGAATTTAGTTGTTTTGAACTGTGGTTTGTACTTTGTAATATGTTGATATATTTTAAAATATCATATTTTTTGTGTTTGTTTTTTAATTTTATAAAATTATATTACATTTTTAAAAAAACAAGTAAAGGAGTCAAACATGTGGTTTACCGTGTTAACCCAACCCTACCTAACATGACTCGTTTAAAACTAAACGTATTAAATGAGACGTGTCGTGTTATCGACTTATTGAACAGGCCGTGTTTGTGTGGAGGTTTTTTTGCCCGTTTATTAAACATGTGGTGTACAGGTTTACGTATTTTTCATCCGTCACCCGCTTAGCTCGACACGTATTTGTTTAACCCGACACGTTTAACAACTCTAACCTATGGGATACACTGGTGATGTATTTATAACAAAATAAGGTTAAAATGTGTTAATTAATACTTTTACCACTATATTGGTTACATTTAATATCATTAAGGATAATATCACCACAATTGCTATAAGATTTATGATAACAGTAAANCTTCGAAGACTTCGACGATTAACCAAGCTGTAAGTTTTTCTTTTCCATTTCTGTTGAACAAGCTATCTTTCTCTCCACATTCTTGTTGAGCAATACCTAGAACCCAACTCCCTTTGAAATTAAAACCCTACCCACCAATTCCCTTTGAAGTTAGAATTTGGATTAAAACCCTACCCACCAACCTCTTTTGAAATTGAGTACTAGAATAATTCAACGGACTGTTTGACAGAGCATATGCTCCTAAATTCAACAAATTGCATGATATCATCATTTTGTATGACTTAAGGCTATTGTGTTATTGTGTATTTGTGTTGACTTGAATGGCTTTATGTATTTGATATTAGAATATATGCTTAAGGCTATTATGTTGACATGATATCAGAAATGCTTGAGTTTGATTAATTAGCATTCTGTATTTGATATTAGTATTCTGTATATTTTTATTATTGGTTATCAGCATTGGTATAATTGTTCTTTGGTGTAATTTTGTAATTTCGGATTGTATTAATGATTTGTAATATAGTTGTTGGTGGAATTTAGTTGTTTTGAACTGTGGTTTGTACTTTGTAATATGTTGATATATTTTAAAATATCATATTTTTTGTGTTTGTTTTTTAATTTTATAAAATTATATTACATTTTTAAAAAAACAAGTAAAGGAGTCAAACATGTGGTTTACCGTGTTAACCCAACCCTACCTAACATGACTCGTTTAAAACTAAACGTATTAAATGAGACGTGTCGTGTTATCGACTTATTGAACAGGCCGTGTTTGTGTGGAGGTTTTTTTGCCCGTTTATTAAACATGTGGTGTACAGGTTTACGTATTTTTCATCCGTCACCCGCTTAGCTCGACACGTATTTGTTTAACCCGACACGTTTAACAACTCTAACCTATGGGATACACTGGTGATGTATTTATAACAAAATAAGGTTAAAATGTGTTAATTAATACTTTTACCACTATATTGGTTACATTTAATATCATTAAGGATAATATCACCACAATTGCTATAAGATTTATGATAACAGTAAATAATTTATCACAATTGAAGTTATATTTACAACATTTGAGTATGAGTTCACTACAATTGTAAATAAATTTATATGTTTAAAAGAGAATTTACGTTTATTTTGATTAATATTACAACAATTTTGTGTATCATTACGAGGATTAAGGTTAAATTTATAACAAAAAAAAATCTTCAGTTAAAACAATGGTAGAAGCATTAACTACAACTGTGGTAACATTAAAATAAAATTACTCCTGTATAACGTCAAGTTACAATGATTATGGATAAAGTTATAATTATTTATGTCAATTTTATTTTTATTTTAATTAATATTACGAGAACCGTGAATAATAATATAAACTTAAAAATACATTTACGATATCGATGAGATACACTAAGGTCGTATTTACAATAATTGTGATTAAATGTGTCAATCGTATTTTTATTAATATATTGGATAAAATTTATTTACTATTGTAGTAATTTCGTCGATTATCATAATAAACTTTTTATTGATATTATAATTTTATTCACTATTATTACGTAAACAATTTTAAAAAGTAACGAATAAAATCGGTTGGCTTACGTTCAACTTTTACACGTGATAAGATCTGCATAGTACCATCTTTTCAATATCGTACCAAAAAAGAAAACTCTGTGCAGTAGTCTACTCCCTGTCTATAAAATCCATGTCAATGAATGTGGGCGTGACCAAAAAGTTGACATGTAACAACCGATAGCAACGGCGTCGACTACCGGACCCCTACACTAACAAGTGGTAAGTTCATAAAGGGTTCGATTCGATCAAAATAATAATAATAATAATAATAATAATTTTGAATTAAATTTGGACCATACCCGAGATGACATTTTGAGTTTACGGCTTCAATTCGCGTTAATCTCAATTTATTAAAATTGGGTTCGACTCAAATTCATAAGTTAAGTTCAACTCGAAATTAAAAATAAATATAATATATATACACACAATTTAATTGTATTTTAAATGTTTATTTAATTAATTTTGAATTTAAGCTAGTACAGCTATTATGTTATGTCCGAAATTAAACTCGAATTGCCAATCCAAATTTATTAACTCGAATTGATTTCAAAATTAACATAGACAACATTTGAGTTAAAATTCGGGAGCTTGGATTAGGGTTAAAAGGTTTACAACTTGAATTGAACATGAATTGGTCATCTAAGTCACCCGAATTACAGCCTTACATACTACCTTCAAATAATGCATTAGGATCTATGAAGGACGGATATAGATACGAGTATGATACGATACGAATACGGTGATACGATAAAATTTAAAAAAATAAGATACGACTATAATAAAATATATTTAATATTTTTATTATTTTCAACTAACGTAACACTTATATATTTTGGTAGTTCTTGAACATATAAAAAAAAATTAGTAATTTTTTTAATTTCAAGAAAATATATATCATGTTATTGTAATATATTTACAAAGTGAAGTGACAATTTAAATAAATCAAAACTAATATTTACCTAGTATTTAGAAGTTATTTTTTCTAAGATTATAATGTAATAGCTTTATTTTATACTTTTTTGACATGCAATTGTAAATAATACTTAAAAAACTCGTGTGCCTTTGAAGTAATATGAAATTTTTATTAATGTTAGTGTATGGTATGTAAATTTGAAAATAGATGCTAAAAGTTCAACTAAAAATTTATATATATTGTTCTATTACAAAAATATCCGTAAAGTATTTTAATATTTAATTATTATCGAATACGTACAAGATATATCTGATACGTATCCTCGAGTATCATATCAGATATGATATCCGATAGGAGTACGTCAACCTCAACGAAGTATCCATGATTCATAGATTAGGATAAACAAATCACTCAGGATAGAGATAAAAAAAAATGCTCACATTTTTTCTATCATAAATTTTAATTATTAATCAATTTTTTTTTATTCAAATTTTGTTATGATCATCTTAAAATCGAAACTCTCATACTAATTTGTTAATGATGGTACAAGTTCTCAATCAATTTTGAATGTCAATGCTAAATGAAGTTGAGAGGACTCAAATTCATTTGTTTAATAATCACCATCTAATAATCCTAATGCATAATTAAATGGATATACATGTACTTAAGACAATTTTCTTAGAATCAAATAATGAGTGATTTATTTTTGATATAGATTTGTCTTTGTGACATAAATGATTTATCTTTAATTGAATCAAGGTGAAAATTATTCAAAATTTTAAGAGTAATATTACATGGATTTAAAAATTAAACTTAAAAATTAGATTTGATAATTTCAATCATTGATTTTACTATAGGTTTCAGCATTTATTAAGGCCCGCTACTTATTCAATAGTTAAGATTATCAAATCTAATTTTTAAGTCTTTTTAAATCTACGTATATTACTCCAACATTAATATGCAAAAAAAAAAAAAAAATTCTCCGTTTACCCCTTTAAGAAGACGAAGTTCGGATTAGATACGGACATTTGAGGTCAGCTTTTACCACTTTCCTTCTAAATCGTAGTCCATATACACAAAAATGGCCAGTACAGAGAAAACTCCGATGAATCACCAAGAACCAAAACTCCCTCCTCATGTCCTCATCTTCCCGTTGCCAATTCAGGGACACATAAACTCCATGCTCAGGCTCGCGGAGCTTCTCTGTCTCTCCGATGTTGACGTCACCTTCATCACCTCCGATTTCAGCTACAATCGCATTATCAAGCACGGCAAAGTTGATTCGCGATTCGCCCGTTACCCTGGCTTTCGTTTCGAAAGCATCACCGATGGTCTTCCTGACGATCACCCTCGCGCCGGCGAGCAAGTCATGGACGTTTTTCCTTCTTTGAAGAAGGTAACGGGGCCACTGTTCAAGGAGATGATGGTTTCTAAAGATTTGTTGGCTTCAGAAAATCGACGGCCGGTGACTTGCATCATCTCAGATTGTATCATCAGTTTTGCGATCGATTTTGCAATAGAGAAGGGGATTTCAATCGTTTACTTTCGAACCATCAGTGCTTGTTCGTTCTGGGCCTTTTTCCGAATGCAAGAACTCGTTGAAGCTGATGAAATACCCGTCAAAGGTTAATTAATTTCTACGTTCTTCGTCCAATTAATCTCTTGTTAGACCTTAATCAATCAGCAGCAATCGTTTTTGCTGTATTGGGTCTTCGAAACAGCTAATCACGGAACTTTAGATTCGATGTTTTTCAGTTTTTTTTTCTTGAAATTTCAGGGTAGTACGTTGATGATTTGATCTTGTGTAATTAGGAAAAGGAATGGATCTACTGGTGAAGAGTCTGCCAGGAACGGAAGGTTTTCTCCGGCGCCGTGATCTTCCCGGATTTTGCCGTGTCGACGACATCAATGAGCCAAAACTTCAGGAGATTAAGTTTGAGACCAGACAAAACACTCGTGCTCACGCTGCCATACTCAACACCTTTGAAGATCTCGAAGGACCCATTCTCTCTCACATACGTTCTCAGATTCCAAATCTCTACTCTATCGGACCTCTACATTCCCACCTGAAATCCAGACTCCAAACCAAAACCAAGGAGTTCTCTGAATCTTCGGGTAGTTTATGGGAAGAAGATCGGAGCTGTTTGACTTGGCTAGATTCACAACCCCCAAAATCTGTGATCTACGTGAGCTTTGGAAGTATTACGATCATAACCAGTGACCAGCTATTAGAATTCTGGTACGGTCTAGTGAATAGTGGACAGAGGTTTTTGTGGGTCATGAGGCCGGACTCTATCACGGGAAACGATAGCGAGTCTAAAATTCCGACGGAGCTTGAGGAGGGCACAAAGGCAAGAGTGTACACGGTGGATTGGGCACCACAAGAGGAGGTGCTGAATCACCCAGCCATTGGAGGGTTCGTGACTCACAGTGGGTGGAACTCAACTCTTGAGAGCATAGTCGCCGGAGTTCCAATGATCTGCTGGCCGTACTTTGGAGATCAGTTGACTAACAGCCGGTTTGTGAGTGAGGTTTGGAAGATTGGATTGGACATGAAAGATACTTGTGATAGAGTTGTAATTGAGAAGATGGTTAGAGAGGTTATGGATGTGAAGAAGGAAGAGTTCTTGGAAAGAGCAGATCAAATGGCGAAATTGGCAAGAAAAAGTGTTCGTGAAGGTGGTTCATCTTACTGTAATTTTGAGCGTTTTGTTGAGTACATAAGGTCATTGATATTGTGAGGATGCCATGGTTGAAGCTTTGCCTGCAAAATTGAAATTGGTTTTCAGGAATTATGAGACAATTGCTTATAGTAGGGTACCATAGATATGAATTATAAGCAATTTTACTCTTATTTTGGATAGTGTATTTATCGAACTCAAGCTCAAATGGAAACGTTTGAGCATATTAAAGCACCGGTAATAACCTATCTTTGAAGGTACGTACAATATAAAAATCTGAATATTTTAAAGAATTTATTTATTATATCAAATTGTGACAACCTTTTTTTTTTGAAAAAAAATGGACAAAAATTATATCCGAAGATATTGTACAACACAAAATCGAACATTAATCATATAACACAAATATTTTTAATAGCATACATATATTTCAAGTAGTACTTTATTTTTCCTTATTGTTTAACTATGCCATTTTAAAACAATCTAGATCTACAATCAATATTAAAAAATTTTAACGAAATTTACTTTTAAAACAGAACACAAAAACAATATCAACTGGCGTACAAAATTTATCAAATGGCTAATAATTATTATATATCTGATTATTATTGAAAAACACATAAATTTAAAGAAAACACAACACAATTTTAACAAAATAAAGAAGATAAAAACAGTTCATATAAAACTACCCAGCATAGTATCTCAACTAAATTTTTGTATGTGATGGTGTCTTTCAACGTGATGCAATTTTGTGACTACGAGTAAATGAAAAAAATAATTTTGGAATTATTGGGATCTGAGCTACTAGGCTCGAGGGAGTGATACTAAAAATTGTTGGGAAGTTAGAGAATTAATACAGTAGAAATATAGTGGTTCACCGGCTCAAGAGCTTTGTTAATCCACTCTTCAATGGATATTCTTGCTCATTCCTTTACTATTTACTATATTAAAAAGAGTTACAGAATGTACGATGTAATACTAGGGTCCTTTTTTTCCTCTGTTGAGGACGTTACATAGTATTTATAGGGGTATCCCTTAATCTATAGGATCCGATCCGTGATCCTTGCCATCTATCCGAAGAATTCTCCTTACTCTTAAGAAAGTATTTTGGTTGGTTGAGGATTTTGTGTCTTGATTGTTATTTCAAACCGTCTTTTGAGTTCTTTGTAGTATCTAGTTGTTTCCTCCCTACTTCAACTTATTATCTCGCTTTGAGAGGAGCTCTAGCTCTGATTTTTTGAGCTTTACATAGCTTTGACCTTCTGAGCTCAGCTTACTTGACCTCCATTCCCTAGCTCCAGCTCGGGAATCATTCTGAGTATCATCAGTTGCCCCCCCAGCTCTTGGTCGAGCTAGCTTGGGCAGGGGCTGAATTTAGGATGTTACAGTGACGGCTTCCCAATCAGTTTACGTGGGAATATATATATATTTATTATTATTATTTATTTTTAAAGCGGTTGTCAGTAATCATTTCCTTCCTCGTTCCTTGCGCACGTTGCCCATTTTGAGGCCCAAGGTACTGTTAGCTCTAAATACCCCTGGATCACCAATTTGCTCTTCACTCTACAGATCTTTTTCGGCTTCTTTATCTTTTCACGACTTCATCTTCTCCATTCTGTCATTGGTTTTAGGGTTTTCTATGATGGACGGTTACCCTAGTTTCGACTTGGAGGCTTAGCGTAATTTGGTTTCGAATCCCCTCCTCGAGCTTTAATCCATCACCAATTCACGGTTAGGTACGTTTTCCCTTTCTTTCCCAGCTCCTTGCCCTGGATCCCTCAAGTCTGAGGTGGTTTTGGCATTTTTGGGCCTTTCAATTCTGCTACGCTAGGAGCCGAAGTATTCCCCTGTCTCGTCTTCCTCTCTTCTTGGACCCTTACTCCACAGTTAGGATTTTCATCATTGATTTTCGGTGTCTTGCTCCTTGGGCTCTCAAAGAGTGTTTCTCCAAGGTCCCCCTCTTTATAGGTCTTTTAAGCTTCCTTATTCTTGTCCAGCTATGTCTGCTTCCTCTGAAGTTACGGGATCGTCCGTTTCGCTAATGAGAGATGGGTTCGTTGAGGAAGATTCCGACTTGGGGGATGTGGGATTAGAGATAAATGATTTCTCCAGAGTGGACTCTGTCAATGTTGAGGGAGGCACTGAGGAGTCTCCTCCTGCCCTGAAATCTCCCAGCAAAGGCAAAACCAAAGTAAGTGGCGTGGGAATTTCAGGTAGTGCTGAGGGTGGTGTTGCTGCCCCCAGGGCCTCCGAGCTCGTGGGGTGTAGTGACATCATTCCTTCTTACATGAAGGTGCTGGCTGCCCGCTTTAGGTATCCTCAAGGCCTTTAGTTCTGGAGTCCGGATATGTTTACCTTATACGATTCCTCTATCCTTAAAAAGGTATGCTTCTTCCTGACTACTTTTGAGAACGACCTCCGCTTTCCTCTGCATCCTTTCATCAAAAATATTTGCAACATTTCAATGTTTGCCCAGCCCAGATTTCTCCTAACTTTTGGGGGGGGTGCTGGTTGGTCTTCTTGTCTTCTTTAAGAAACATGATCTGGGTGTCTCTACCGTGTATTTGCTCATGAAATTATTCTTTTTTGTGTGGGGAGGGAATGAGAGTTCAATCCTGCCGACGTGACGGATACAATTCCCGTCTCTTGGGGGTGGTCTGCCCCTGACAACTTGGGTGAGCTTCATTTTATGCAAGTTGAAATAAGTTCTAGCTTCTCTTAGGCTGAGCTTGTTTGGCTGGTTTCGATTCTCAAGCATCCGACCAGACCTTAATGTCGTAGACGAACAGGTCCTAAGGAACTTGACGAATTACAATCGGAGAGGTATTCAGAGCTAATCCGACCTCAAGTCCTTGTGAGGCTTGAGTTTAGTCCTCCTGAAGTGAGGGTAGAAAATTTGTCCCCTCTTTTTTCCATTAGTGTTGAGGAATTGGTAGGTATTGTCCCTTTCACCTCTGCCTCTGCCTTTTACCTCTTCTCCTTCTCCTTCTCCTTTTTTTTTTTTTTTTTTGAACGGATCTTTCTCGATTTTTTCAGGTTCTTCCTTAATGGAGCCTACTGCGAAGGATCGCTCTAGTAAATTATCTATGATGAGGAGGACTCGAGCTGAAAGCAAACGTAAGGTTGAGGTCAGCCTAGGGGGTGATCCAACTGTCGAAATCAAAACTCCAAGACTGGAATCGTCCTCTGTAACTCAAATGGGGCCCCAATCCTCTTTGGGCTTTCTGGAGGTTGCAAGGAGCTCCTTTCTTCAAAAGACTGGACTGTCTTCCTCTAGTAAGGTCCTTGACCTAAGCTTGGTCTTTACCCTTCCCTCTATAGGTGAGGTCGAGAAATCTTTGGAGACAGTTTCTCCCCTCTTGCCTAGAGCCATCTCTTCTTGCCTAGCTGTGGGGCCTCCTCAGAAGGCTCTTGGGATACGTAAGCATAAAAAGGGGAAAATGTAGAAGCAAGTTCGAGTTCTTTGATTGATAACGTGAAAAGAGCTGTAGAGGTCATTGCTTCCATTCTCCCCGAATCTGATATCCAGCAAGCTTCCACCATGCCTCTTGGGAGCTCTATATCTACTGCTCTTTTCGCTTCTACCTCCGTAAGTTTTATGTTTTTCGTGCATACATGTTTTATTCATTTTGCTCATTCTTATCTGACCTTTTCTCACTTTCAGATTGCCCTCCATATCAGCGGGCTGCTGAAGAGGATCCAAGCCATGGAAGGTTCAGTTAAAGCTTCCAAGGCTTTTGAACTCAAGGTTACCGAGCTGTCCTTTGAGAATAGTGACCTCAAGGGCCAAGTGCAGGACTTGTAGGAGCAGGTAGAGAAGCAGACCTCCTTAAATAGGAGTTTGGAAGAGATGAGGGAGAAGATTGCACGTGAGGGAAAGAGCTGCAAAGAGGAACTTAAGAAAACAAAAGAAAACCTCAGGAAAACCTCAGGGGAACTTAAGCAGAAAATAGATGATTGGCTCAGAGCCAGTCGGGAGTCTCTCGAAGCTTCAATTTCTTTCCAAACTATGAAGAGAGAATATGACATTATTACAGAGATGAGTGACGTCCTCCGGAACGAACTCGAGGTGACGAGGGCAGTTGTCAAGGAAAAAGATTGCTTAATTGCCAAACTGGCTGATGATGTGACAACTCAGTGGGCCTCTGGGTGACTTGCTTTTCAGGACAGGGCTGAAGAGATCTACCTTGAACTGGATTTCAATTTTGATCCCCCCACTGAGGTCAAAGCGGCTGACTCTGATCTCAACAATGTTCCCCTTCCTGCTCCTAAGGTTGCTTCCTTCTCAGCCGACCTCGTCTCCAAGGCACTGGCCCTGAGCTCATCTTTAGTGGAGGTCGAGATTCCTGCCTTAACAACTCTTGAGATTCCTCTTTCTCTACCTGCTCCAGGAACTACAATGACTACCGAGGTTCCATCCCCTTCTCCGGCGGAGGTTTCAGAATTTCCAGCTACTTTTTATGCCGAGCTCCCAGGCTCTCAATCTACTCATGTTGCCGAAACTTCAACTTCTGAACTATAGAACCCTTCCCCAAATCCACCTTCAGAGACTTAGGATTTTATTTTGAAATACGCTCATGTTGCCGTAACTTCAACTTCTGAACTACATAATCCTTCCCCAAATCCACCTTCAAAGACTTAGGATTTTATTTTGAAATATGCTCATGTTGTCGAAACTTCAACTTCTGAACTACAGAACCCTTCCCCAAATCCACCTTTAGAGACTTAGGATTTTATTTTGAAATGTGCTCATGTTGCCGAAACTTCAACTTCTGAACTACAGAACCCTTCCCCAAATCCACCTTCAGAGACTTAGGATTTTATTTTGAAATATGATCATGTTGTCGAAACTTCAACTTCTGAACTACAGAACCCTTCCCCAAATCCACCTTTAGAGACTTAGGATTTTATTTTGAAATGTGCTCATGTTGCCGAAACTTCAACTTCTGAACTACAGAACCCTTCCCCAAATCCACCTTCAGAGACTTAGGATTTTATTTTGAAATATGATCAAAAATTTGTAACTATGAGCTCATTTTGAAAATGTAACTTCTATGATTTTGAGTTGTACAGCTGACTCACAGCTTTCTTGATTGCAGTTACGGTATACTGACCCCTATAAGACTATGCCTTTGAATTTTTATCTTTGAGCTGTGCGTTTTTACTTTCTTCCCTTGTCCCCCTTGCTTTAAGGAGTGTTGAGCTCTTCTAGAAGCCATAATGCTTTGGGAGTTTCATACTC